AAATACTGCCAATAGACCGCTGGCTCTCTTCAGAAGGAAACCGGACAAGTGCCTTCAAAATACTGTCCATAATTCGAGCGATGGTGCTTACGTTGTCATGCCATCAGCTAGCACCAACAGTAACTGATCGGAGCCGAGACTGCTCCCCATGACATATCCAAATACATTCTTCCCTGCCAACACACTTGCCCTCTCCCCATCCTCTTACCCCTCGTGTCTCGTCCCTTTCCTTCCCTATAACCCGTGTTTATCACTTTCCTGTACCGCCTCGTCCCTGTTTTCCCAAGGTTCCTGACTTCCTTTGACCGAGAGAGGCTCCGGACGGGGGGCATTATGGGTCAAGTGGCTCAACAGGTGCCATGGCCACTGACCCTTGTTGACCTTGTTAGTCACGGCCCCTCTCGTCTTCCCAGTCCCCACCTTCAAACACATTACCTATCATTCAACAGGTAGGAGAAAGTTTAAACGGGAGAGCACTTAGGTTAACGTTCATTACGGAAGGGTAGGGAAGTGAACATGTCTGGGTAAGAGGAAGAAAATATCTTGGGTAAGAGAGGCAGAAAGTGTCTTGAGAGAGAGAGAGAGGTATTTGGGGGAGGTAGAAAGTATCTGGGGGAGGAAGGAGATAACAGTATCTGGGGATAGGGGAGCCAGATACTATCTTGGGTGAGAGAGATGAGAAACAATCTCTCACTGACTGTATGAATGTCTCATCATGTCTTCACAATCTGCCTTTATAGTCGCAATGCGATTTTATTACCTTCATGGTGGCGACCTTTCTCACAAGTATTAAATTACATTGCCATACAATTTGATGCATCTGGACTTACTTTCGTCTGGTAATATACGGCTGTGAGTGCCAATCAATCCAGAAACTTTTCGTAACAGTTCACTTGATGCGTCTATTCACACACATTACAAATGCATTTGTAGCAAGGTGACAGCTGACCACTATAGTTTGCTTGGTCTGAACTGTGCAACATCCAGTGGAAAGCATGTTAGACACGATGAAGCGACTCAAAGAAGCCTTGCCACAGCCCAGAGTTCGGCCGAAAGAGCACCATAGATCTGGTGTGGAACTACGGCTCGCATGTATCTACTCTGACATCTACATCCCATTTTAGTGTCGGTTTGCAGGGCAATGTTGCTGATCACAGTGAAGCATACAAGGTGAAGCATGGCGACTGGGACCATCTGTCTTGCTTGATTCTTATTAGATCAGAGTTTCTTGGATTCTGGAAAAGGTGACACCAGAATCCTCACCAAATTAGGTTTGAGGTTAATTGAAACTATTAAGAGCCAGAGATGCCAGTCTTCTATACCAGGGTCTCAGTGTGGCTAGGCACCAGACCTGCCGAAAAATTTGGTTTTCTCTCTGGCCTTCGAGGACTTAAGTCACTGGTTTTTAAAATAATGTCAGTCCTCTACTTTTTCTTTGACCTTTTCTCCACCCGTTATCTGCCAGTTGTTTTCACTATTACCTCTTTACTCATACCACTATCTATTCCCTTTCCCATATTCATCTTCCCTCTTTCTATCCTATCATCTTTCTTTTCCCTTTTCTTCCTTTCACTGTAATTCCATTTTCACCCTCCCATTACTAACATACATCTCGCCTCTTTCTCACTGGTTTCGAAGTCTCTCAGCTCAGCTGACAGATGATGGAAGATGACAGGGATATACGGCTATCATCTAAAACAGGGTAGCAGCAATCTACCAGAATAGGGTAGCAGCAATCATCTAGAACAGGGTAGCAGCAGCTATCCCCTAGAACAGGATAACAGCAGCTGTCATCTAGAACAGGATAGCAGCAATCATCTAGAATAGGGTAGGAGTAACAATCAGCTAGAATAGGGTAGCAGCACATTGCTGACATATCCATTTTAGCTAAATAAGTAATAAAAAAAAAGCCACAGTAATATCCTCCCCTCACCTCTGAACATAAGAGTGTCACAACCCTGCTTCCCCTCTATTATACGGCTTCCCTCTGGAGCCGACCCCTTCAGGAGGCGATACTAGGCCGTCTGTGTTTGTTATCCATCCTCCCCTACCTCCCTTCACCCTTTATTTTTTTTATAATCATACCCAAGCGCTGAAGCAGTAAGGGTCATACAGCATCACGCCTTCTCTAGCTTTTTCCCGTCTCTCGTACCTTCTCTCTCGTCTCCATCTTTCGCACACTCCCATCTCCTTTCACCCTCTTTCTCTCCTTCTTCCTCTCTGTCTCTATTTCCCATCTACCACCTCTTCTACCGTCTCTCTCTCTCTCATTCCCTCTCCTCTCCCCTCCCCGACCCTTTTTACCATCTCTTCTCTCATCCCGTTCTCTCACCCCTCTCATCCCCCAATCAATCTTTCACCATCTGCAGCACCTACGCCATCTCCCATTTTCCCCTCAATCTCGACTCCCTCTTCCCAACCTTTCCACCTATCTTCAACTCTCATACCCTCCCACCTCATCCAACCTCTCATTCCCCTCCCCACCACACTCCACTAGCAGCACATCAGCTGAGAACTTTGAACATTATGGAAAACAATAATCTCTCATTAATAAGTACAAGTCGTCTGGTGTTTTGCGTCACTTAAGATCCTATACAATATATCTGTCTGGGCTTAGTGTGAATTATTTATTGACTGAGTCTAACGAGGCTGTTCTTGCCGTTGCACACAAGTCTTATTCATGTACCTGTCCGTAATTTATATATCATATATATATAACGCAAGATACGGACGCAAGCATGTAGAGCCGTGCTCGGTGGTAGCTACGTCAAGTGCTCGGTGGTAGCTACGTCAAGTGCTCGGTGGTAGCTACGTCAAGTGCTCGGTGGTAGCTACGTCAAGTGCTCGGTGGTAGCTACGTCAAGTGCTCGGTGGTAGCTACGTCAAGTGTTCGGTGGTAGCTACTCAAGTGTTCGGTGGTAGCTACGTCAAGTGCTCGGTGTATACGCAAGTGCTCGTGTAGCTACGTCAAGTGCTCGGTGGTAGCTACGTCAAGTGCTCGGTGGTAGCTACGTCAAGTGCTCGGTGGTAGCTACGTCAAGTGCTCGGTGGTAGCTACATCAAGTGCTCGGTGGTAGCTACGTCAAGTGTTCGGTGGTAGCTACGTCAAGTGCTCGGTGGTAGCTACGTCAAGTGCTCGGTGGTAGCTACATCAAGTGCTTGGCTAGTAACTCTGCCAAGGTCTACTCAACAACTGGGTCAACTCGTGTGTGTTTCCTGGTCGTCCAAGTGAAGACACAAACGTCGTCACCAACACGCATGAAACCTTAATTTTCTATACCTGTGTAACAGACACGAAAGGCAGAAGTGATGAGCTGACAGCCTTTGATAAAACCTTTTGTTAATGCAAATACTGAAAGAGATTCCCCCCCCCCCCACACACACACTAAAAATTCAAGATTCTTCCTGAGAAAGATGGGTAATTATGACGCCGAGAGAAAAGTTGGACCATTACAAGGTTTACACTTTCGTGTTATAGTAGACTAAGAAGATGAAAGATTTAAATAGCGCTCTGACGTGAGGGATTACTAGAGTCAGTCAGAAAACGACCATTTTCAGCGTCAAAAAGACTCGCCTAACCTTTCTCCAGGTCCCTACAGGCTCCCTGGCAGGATATCGAAGCAGCAGCACTCCGCCAGTTGATTATAATTATGGGGAGCACTAAACCCATAGGATTATACAGCTCGTGTGGGGAGGATGGAAGGTATTCAGGCTCAATTCAGGGAACCGGAGCACAGATCCAATTCCCTAGATCAAGAGCCCCTCACTTTGAGGGGTCCGCAAGTTGAACACAGAGAGGAGCAGGAGAACCTTCAAGCAGGTAGGTAAGGGTGAGGTATGTGCAGATGAATTAGCGCCTAGTGCTTTTTTATATAATAAATAGTGCTCATCCGAGCCTCACAACTCTCTCAAAGACTCGACTCCTGTTGGAGGAAGGGAAAAAAAAATTCCCAGTCCTGTGGAACTGTGTTTAACTTCCTACATCATCTGTAAGGCCCACCAATCCTGCCACTTCCCAAATATATATCTACCTACGAGGCCCGTGAAGCCTTTGTGAGGCTTTAGTCTGATAGAGAACAAGCTTGTTACAGCAACCTCCATCTCAGCATCCTCCAGTTTATTACCCAGGATCCCGACGTGTCCCTGGTGCCAACAATTCTGTGTTCTTGTGTAGGGCTTAATACACCTGGATTTTGTGGACCACAAGATGGACAGAAACTTAAGGGTGGAGGAAGACCCCAAAACATTTTGTGTGAGTCAGGAGGAACGCAGAGACCACGTCGTGTGAGGCTGCGTGAGGACTGCTAACTCTGTCTTACGCTCGTTCATCTCTTCCCAGGTATTATTCTAATTACCTGCGAGTAATTTGTCTTCCATTGATTCTTGTTATTTTCCTCAATAAATTATGAAGTACATTACATAGTTACAGCAATACCTACCTCTGTCTTCACTTAGTATTTATTTAAGATTCACAAGTAGTTTGCTCTAATATATATATATATATATATATATATATATATATATATATATATATATATATATTCATTTATGTTAATAAAAATGAATAATTTTGTACCAAAAGAACCTTAGGAAACTTACCTAACCTTATTATAACAAGCTCAATTTAATTTAGCCTAATCCAACTAAATATATTTTATACAAGTTTACAATAATTTAATAATAAACAAACACAATGAAATATATATTTTTTTCGTTAGGTTCAGAATGATTTTTGCGAAATTATTGCATACACAAATTTTCGCTTGCCCTATTCGGCACGATATATATATATATATATATATATATATAATCATGAATTTATTAGCAGTGATGGGTGGCTGGACTGGGGAGGGAAGGACTTAAGATATGATGAAACAGCTCCAACAACAGCCCCAACAGCAGCACCAACAGCAGCAGCACCAACAGCACCAACAGCAGCAGCACCAACAGCAGTAGCACCAACAGCACCAGCACCAGTACTACAATTATTATCAACTTACCTCTGCTCTGCTCTGCCATGTCACCACCACCACCATGGTGCACCTACACTTGTCCACGTCATCCAAATGACAGCAGTTAGCCGTGCCTGGGGTGTGTTGGGGGGGAGGGAGGGTAAGGTGGAGGGTGATATTGGAGGGAGGGGAGGTGCTGTAGGGTGGAGGAAAACTCCCCACATGGTGTGACAAGAAACAATGAGCATGAAATAGAGTGACGTATCCATCGACGTCATCACTCTGGTGGAGGCTGGTATTTACACGCAATTAGGAATTGTAACTGTTGTCAAAAGGCACTAAGCACACTGCTGCCAAGTGCGCCACTTTGTCTAGGGTCACGCTACCTTGTTCACCAACCCCTTACCCCCGTTGCTTGGTGGCAGCACGTTCAGCTCACAACCCAAAGACCCGGGTTTAATCTTGGGTTAGTAGAGGCATACAGGTCAAGCAGGTGTTTCCTGACACCTGCTGGACCTGTTTTCCCTAGGAGTGAATAGGAAACAAACCCCACCCGTTGTATGGTTTGTTTGCAATCGTGTCATTACGATTTCGTGAGTCGAGTGAATAGGACCCTGGGTGTCAGCTCGGGCCAGGAGGTAGTATAGCGTAGTTATGGCTACTGCCTAAAACAAGCCGATGCAAAAAAATCAGTTGTTAGGCTGCAAATTCATCATTGTAAAAAATGAGATAGTCTGGTTGTAAATGAGGGCTGGTTCAGGGTGAGGGCTGGTTCAAGGTGAGGGCTGGTTCAAGGTGAGGGCTGGTTCAGAGTGAGGGCTGGTTCAAGGTGAGGGCTGGTTCAGGGTGAGGGCTAGTTCAGAGTGAGGGCTGGTCCCAGGTGAGGGCTGGTCCCAGGTGAGGGCTGGTTCCGGGTGAGGGATAGTTCTGAGTAAGACTAAAGTTTACTCAGCTTGCACATTAACCACTGTTCAATCCACTATCATAATTCCCTTCCTGTAGCAATGACAGCAAGGGTCATGCCTCCAATTACCTAGTGAAGAATCTGATGAAAAGGTTAAGCTGATATTTTCTCAAGGTGATGGAGAAGCAGAGAGAGAGAGAAGAAGAAGAAGAAGAAGAAGAAGAGAAAGATACCAACTGCTGTGACGCACTCACGTAAACAGCGACAGCAGACGTCAACAGACAAGACTAAGAGAGATACAGGTGACACGTAAGGCAGCTCACAGAGAAGGTAAAATAGAATCCCTTGGTCATAAACACCTGTGTTCTTGAGCACATGTTTAGGGTGTCGGGTGGTCGTGGACAATACCTGCAGCAGCACCCACGGCCGCCCCGACAAAGTCCCTTCCACATATCACTCTCTGCTGACCGTCTACCACCCGTCCAACGCACCTCTCCAGGAAACAATAGGCGGAACGACGCAAATTCCCCGGTCAATTTCGAAACTGGATAAATCTTTTATGTCCCGGCTGTTTATAGGGTAAATAAAAGTGCATTTTCCCCTGGAGGAAGTGACCACAAGTCCAACTAGGGACTGCAGATACCCGGATACTAAATGTGAGGATGTACAAGGATATTTCAAGGTAAATTTATATGGATATTACGAGGTATATAGATATTTCTTTAGGAAATATTATGCTTATCCTATTTTTTCTATGCGGAAACGCCTGTCAAGTTTGCTACAATTTAATGAACTTTTTTCTACGCTTGACTGCAAGACTGAAGTTAGTAAGAAAACAGGAAAGTATTTGATATAATGCCACACTACAGACTGGACCAGAAATTAGGAGAATAGGCAGAGTACTCAGTGACGTAGGGAGTTAACAGAGAGAGCTAAGAAAGTTAGGTATCAGAACAAAAACAATGGAGAAGGGAGGATCTCCTGATATATGTCTACGACTTATCAAAAGGGACCGAGTCTTGTGTATTCCTGTTACTGTTGATGAAAAACTAGTAAGAAAGAGACGAGCAGGAGAGGACAAAGACAGGCTTAAGGAAGACTTGAACAGCCTGAAAAGGTAGGCCAACAAGTGGCTGCTGGAGTTCAGTCCAAACAATTGCAAGTTCATGTAGTTTGGAGAAAGGTAGGAAGTACTGGATACAGAGTACGGTATGAGAGAAATTTTAAATATCATTGAAGGAAAGGGATCAAGGGGTAATACAAAGCATATCGCTGGAGGTACGCATGAACCGGAGAGCTTCATAGAGCACGTGAGGCCCTCCCAGTGTGGAGTTCTCAAATAATCAAACACCTACAGAGGCTCTCAAAAAAATACAACCAAATTAAGATCCTAGAAGCCAGAAGTCAGTCCACTAGCAGGGTCAGGAGCTATTGACCCCTTCACACACACACACACACACACACACACACACAATAAACAAACTGTGCCACCAGCGACACGAGACCATTAATGGGGAAGCTGAACCCTCTGATCCTGAGCATCTGACTGGACTTCTCTCATTGGTGGTTGGGTCGTTACCTGGTGAGTTATAGCCCCGAGACGGAGTGCAACTGCCAGTTAGGCTGTTATTACTGTGCCTGGCTATTGTTGAGGTGGGAAGATGGTGTAGTGGAGGTCTGCTTGCCTGGAGCTCCTTACGAGGGACGGGTAACTGGAGGGGTGTCACCATGGGGACCCCTGTGGTTCTATCCCTTGTGTATTGATACATAATGGGTAGGATGACGCATCTGCATGCAAACTGCTGTTAGTGTTGTTGTTGATGGTGGTGGTACTGGCGCTGTCGTTGCTTACATAAGAATGGAGGAGCATTGCAGCAGGCCTACTAGCCCATGCAAGGGCCAGCAGGCCTGCTGCAGTGTTCAAACCCAAACCCACTAACAAAAATATTTGCCCAATCTGTCCTCGCGGGAGCATTTACCCCCAAAATCCTCTCCAAGTATACCCGCTGCATTTAGTCCCCACTTGCTTGCATTCTTTTCTCAACTGGATTTTTCCACGGGGTGTATACATGCGAGCCAGTGATGCTGACTTCGATGACAGACACGGCTCGCTAAGTCTGAGCCGTGTCTGTCTAGACAATACTTAGTATCCCTCAGTGGGAGAATTATCTCCCTGTGTTCTGAGGACCAATATTTTCCTCGGGGAAAGAATTGTTTTGACACGTGAGAGTCGAGGGGAACCAGCATTTCCCCGAACACCTGTTAAGTGTTGCACACCTGTCTCCCACACATCCATCAAGCCACCTGTCATACCCACCTTGTCATTAACTTGCAATAAACATGTGATACGTATTCGGTATGCTACAAGTTACTGAGGTGCAGACCAACGAAGAATTTAACACTGAATTTAACTGTTACGGAGAATTTAACATAGAAAGGGAGACTGCGGAGCGAAATTCCAAAGATCAAATTAACGTCTCTGTTGCTCAGGAGATTTTCCCAGTACAACGAAAATCCCCCATTACAAAATATATTATTATTATTATTATTATTATTATTATTATTATGCATATATATTATATTTATAAGAAAGCGCAAAGCTTGAATAGGTGTTTATCGCTTATATATATATATATATATATATATATATATATATATATATATATATATATATATATATATATATATATATATATATAATATATATACATAGGCTGAGGGACTGATCACCTCATCTACATCACTACGTCTGTTGATTCTTCTATATATCGACTGAAGAAGCCTGCTGAACAGCGTAACCTCTCGTCAATACAGACACCAAACTGCTACTTATATGTCTTAATCATCTATTCGTTGGTATTGTACACCATTAAATTAATGACAATGTGCAAGAAAACAGAAGCAGATGAGATCAATTACTCATAATAATTACAGTGAACCTTACTGACACACACACGTGTCTACATGCACTTACCGCAGGATAGTGTGACTCTACGGACGTTTGGGGGAATGGTGTGGCCGGGTGTATTTTTGAGAGGGTTTGGTCGTGTACTATTGGAGAAAAAAGGGCTTTGTCCTCTGTGAATCTGAAGAGAGTATGGTTGTGTGTGTCTGAGGGTATATTTGTGTACGTTTTTGGATAGGGTGTAGCCTTGCGTACGTTTGAGAGAGTGTGGTTCTTTGTACTTTTGAAGAGAGGGTGTGGCTCTGTGTACGTTCCTCCACCAGGTGAGAACACTTGACAGTGCACCGATACAACAGGTGTGTGTGTGTGTGTGTGTGTGTGTGTGTGTGTGTGTCTTCTGTTGCAACCACTTAATGGGTTGCAATGATTATTATGTATATATATAATTATTACCTTTTCATTTAATTTTATATTGCTTATATTTGCGATAATAGCTAAATCGTAAATGTATTGCTTTATATTGTTATTTGACGTAGTTATGTTGTTTGGTAGGATGTAACATATTATGTGCTCAGTTCAAGTTTTGATTGTCTAACTACTGTAATTATCGCTCTTTGCTTGTTTCCCTGCCGGCTTCTTGTTGGGCAGCGACAGCATCCCACGGAGCTATTACGTGATCGAGGGGGGGGGTGTCCTCACCTCTCGTGAAGTATTCAGTCTGCTCTAGACTCTCTTGGTGGTTGGACAGGTTGTCTGTCTCATTATTCTTGTTAGTTCTGTAGAACTCTGTTCACAGAAGATTGTATAGACTTAGTGATTTTCGACGTTGTACTGAGGTTGTGTGTCTCATAGACACTCTGAGTAACTCAGGTCCTGAACTATAGCTTATGACCTAATTTGTACTGGTTTCTGTGTATTATCACAGTCGGGGATTTTCTTATGCTGAACTTAGATTCAGTAGTACGGGAGTTTTGTAACTTTTGTGGAGGATCTGCTGATGGTCCCTACATAGTGTCGTTATATTATCTCCTTGTTCCTGATTCTGTGTTGCAGTTGCTTGTTGTATTGCTGTTGGGCTTTAGCATTCTTTTTGTTGTTCAAGCAGACTGTTCTGGTTGCCAGTCGGTCAAGAAGTTAGTTTATTTGAGGACTTTGTCAGTCACTTGTTTAAGTCTAGTCGAGTCGTGAGACATAGCGAACTACTTAGAGCATTTACACACATACACACAAAATTAATTGTACATATTTGTAATATCTTGTTAAATGTTAATGTACCTGATGGTACTTAATTATAAATGTGATATGTGCTTTCAGCACAATAATATTGAACTCGAGAGAAGTGATATTATTTTGATTACTGTGATTAATTTAATTTAATTTAATTTAATTTGATATTATACCTCTAGACTTAATAAGTTTATTAAATTTTAATTTCTCTAGTTAGTAGCCTACCAGTTGTAATCCTGAAGCACTACTGAATAATA